ACACATTGCTGCTGTAGAAGTGATCTGCACAAGGAAAGAGTAGGTGAGTGCTTAAGTTTTCAATCTGAACACCTATGGTCTTGATGTAAGCTTGGTATCAAAGCAGATTTCCCCAGGATGACACAGTCCTTCCTAGTTTATACCATGGAGCCTACATTATGCACTAACTGCTCTGGAGTGTACCAGGCCACCCATAGATGTTTGGTTGCCCTACAGACAACACAAACATTAAAAATTCCTGCCACATAACACATGGAATAGAGCTGCTTCTCTTCCTTGTGGCCTGACACCTCGACAGCCCATTCTGCAGGGGCTGTAACCCCCCACACCTGAGGCCACTGTCTTGACACCTCCTCATCTCCCTGCCCTGCCTCCATTTGTGGAAACAAGCACAATTATCCAGAAAGGGGCTTAGTCAGTGATTTCCCACTAACTCACACACTTCTGTTTCTGTATTTAGTCGGTGTTCCCAGCCGGGCAAGTCTGTGTGGAGCTCAGGTGTAGCAGAACAAGCTGCTCTGCAGTCTCTGGGAGCAGCAGCACACAGCAGCAGCACAAGCACTCTGCCAGGTTACAGCACACGTGCAGAGCTCCTCCAGGGTTGGACCTGCAGCCTGGGAGCACCTGTCCTGACCACCCATCTCACGGTTCTGGCCATACTAATTGCAGGGCTGTGACAATATGCAACCCAGTGCTCAGGGTTTTGGGGTGAGGAAGCCCCAAGGTATCATTCCATCCTGTGGCACTGACTCAGCTGTGCAGCCCCTACATCCAGAAGCAGGGTTTGACTCTGAAGTGAGATAGTGCCCAGTCTACTTACCTCCTGACATGTCACTGGCTCCAGAATGGATGCAAGCCTGTGCAGAATACACACCTGCTGTGTGTGCATGAGCCAGCCAGTATAGATCCTACACTGAATTTTTTCCCTAACAGCCATTTGCAATTAGCATTTGAATTAACAGGATCATTATTTTTATCTATTAGAATGTGGAGAGGGGAAAACAAATCAGGAATATCTGATTAATAAAGTAGCTTGTAATTGTACTGACAAGACCAGTTCACTAATTCCTTTTCATAAAGTGAAAAAAAAAGGGAATCAAAAAATCAGTTTTAAAAACCACACTAAAATGAGACCTGTCCCTCAAAACAGCTGCTGAGCAGAGAGATATTGCTACCTGATAAAAAGTAATAAAATTGTCTGAATAGAGCTTGATTCAAGCTCAGCTTGAATCAAGCCTCTCCTGATTCAATCTCCAGTCCAGAAAAAGGGGTTGAAAACATGCTGAAGCAAAGCTATTTTTATGTTTTATTTATGCAAAACAAGCAAGTTTGATAAACACACTTAAGAGACCTAGAGTCTATACACAAGCAGTTCAGGGGCATTTGATGCCTATTCAGGTGAGCATAGTCAATGTTTATAACCATCACCATCTTATGAGTTCAAAAGACTGAAGATTTCCCCTTTCAGCAGGGGATGGCAGCAAACATTTCAGCTATGGCTGAATGCTATTTTTTGGTTACAAAGACAGGAGCAGGTCCTGCTTTAGCACAAAGTACTTTTCACACTGCACCCTGAAGTCCAAAAGTAGAGGTTACAAGTGCAATAGCAGCATTTGAAATATGGCTGGCCAGTTCCTCTGTTTACCAAAAAGTGATTAATTTACCTTTTTCACAAAATAAGTCACTTAAACAAATTTTCCACCCTATACTTTCTATTTCTCTGTTCTCAAAGGTGTGCTTCCTAATTGTACACACATACTCTTTTAAAGACCAGGAAAGAGTTAATTTACTAATAACAGAAAAATTAATAAAACATTTCAAAACAGACATTATGGCAAAGAGCCATGACAGTACTGAAACCAGTCCAGTCTGTGCAGAGCTATTCTCTGATGTATTTTTCACATCCATCCTACCTTTTTCTTCCTGAAAGGCACAGAGGAAGGTCCAAGTGGCATTGAAATAAAAGCTGGGAGTAACCTGAGGAAGGACCAATATACGACACTTAGAACATCTCCTAGTTTATCACAATACTCCTGCCTATGTCTCCTCCAGATGAGGACATGAGCAATAAAGGCAAGTCTGCTTCTTCTGGCACATTTGTGGAGCCTAAGAGATATCAAGAGTAAGAAATATTGTCTGCTGAATAAAGTAGGAAATGTGATTTACTTCCAGGTTCCTTAGCTAAGGCCTGTTTCTCAAATATCAACAGAATTTTTCCCAACTACTGGTATACACAGCTCCAGTTGGAAATGCTATTTATCTCTTCCAAGGGGGAAGTCTGGGAGTGTTTTCACCCTTTCATAGGTTTCTTCAATTCTACTGGATTTAGAACTGAGCTTAAAATTTCAGTTTCTTTTTGGTCTGCTCCACAATCTGAGACACGGACCTGAGAATATTTCAACACACTTTGCTGACCTGCAGAAACCTGACCTCTGTGCAAAAAAAACATTAAAACACACATAACAGGCACCCCTCAAAGAAGTGCTTGCATTATTAGAGCCACTATTCTTTTAGAAATTCTGCTTCACTTGAAGCCTGTGAGACGCCCATTTTGTATCGACCCAGAGCTCCTTCACACAAAGTACAAAGTGTCTTCTTAGGCCCAGTGCTCCATTTAAAACTTGATCTTTTGAGTGCCCACTACATGTAATTTATATTTTTAATCCATTCCCCATTCCCTCTCACCTGAAATCCTGTCCTTCAAAAAGCAGGGTAAGCTTCATGCACATCATTCAACTTCTGCCTAACCTGTTACATGAAACTTGTGAGGTCACAAATTATGGATTACACATGTGCCTTAATACCTATATTATTTCTTTCAAACAAGCCAGGATGGGGATGTTTTCACAAATTCAGTCAGTCTTCACCTTCCCAGAAATATTTTGCCAGCCTGGCTCAAGTTTTCAGCTCCCCTACAATTCATAAATCATTCCCACATCAGAACTGTAAATGGATAAGCCTCAGTTTAGGCATCATTTTCCACCTGTGGCTCTCCATGTTTCTTTACCAAGGAGGAACTCATATTTATCTCTTTTAATGAATTATGGAGACAAATACATTCACAATCCATAGTGAACTCAGTAATGACTCCCACAGATGGCTGTTGGGACTCTGTCACTAATTTTAGGGGGATCACCCTTTAATACCTAGCAATTTCCACATGAGGAAAAGTCAAAGAGGTATCTTACCTGGTTCTTCAAAAAAACAAACCACTCCAGAAGTTTTAAAAAATAGAAGAATAACATTCTGCATATTACATTACTGAGTACCAACTCCATTTCTTGTAATAGGTAACCCAAGCCTTAAAAAACGTGGTCAACAAGAGTTTGTTAATTACATTTCCTTATAGAAAAGCAAACAAACTGTCTTCCAGAAACACAGAAAAATCAAACAGGACAAGAATGATATTATATCAGCAACTTTTTTTTACTTCCAACACCGTTGACCTTCTTTTCCTGTGGTCTTAACCAAACTGCATGGGATTTGTGTTAGAAAAGGGGTCTTTACCTTTCTCTAGCAGACATAAGCCTGACATTTTTTAATGGTCAGTAAGTTAAAATGAGCATATTCACATTAGAAAGTATTTTAGAAAGTACTGAAGATAGCAATTAACTGCTGAAACAACTTTCTGAGGATGATAATGGCTACCTCTATCACTGGAAACTTTCAGCTAAAGATGCTCCTTACTAAGTAGCAATTACATTAATGGGATTTTTGTGGTTGTCTATTAGTAAATTAAAATAGATTATCTGAATTTATTTATCCCCAGGCTTGAATATAAACCTCCAGAGTTTACCACACTCCTTTAAAGGTCACTAAATCAGTAATTATATTAATTTATCCTGTATATTGAAAGCTCTTACCAAACCAGCTTAAAAAAACAAGTCCAGTTTTCCTCTTTGTAGAATGAGGTCCCTGGAAGCACATACAAAACTCAGAATTGGACAGGGGGAGGAAAACAGTTCAGACAAAGCATCCACTCTGAAACATTTAAAATAATTTTATTAAACAATCGTGTTTTACATGTCATCAGACCTAACCCCTGAAGTGCAAAAATGTTTCTGAGGTATTAAGACTGGAGGAAAACAGGCACAGTATTGGTTGTTAGGGATACTGCCCTACAGCACAGTGGAATTTGCAAACAACAGGCCTTTATACAGCATTTGCAGGATCAGAGAAAACTGAGAACAAGACTGTATTTGTCTTTAGCCTTGAGAGCCAAAAAGCCCTGATCATTAGCCAGTTCTGTCACATCAGTGAAGACACAGACACGGTTAACACAGGATGATGATAAATATCAATGAGGTGTTTCTAGGCCAATATGTACAGTACATGAAAAATGAAATTTAACTGCTGTATGTGTGACCAAAATCCCAACTGTCTATCCAGTCCAGCTTAATATGTTGTGTCTATGGTGGCCTCTCTAGTACCAGCATTTTTGTCTACTCTACACAGCAAAGTCACTGCCTTGTGCTCCTGTTTGGGGGCACCTGTCACTCACACTCGCTTCAGGTAAGTTGATGTTCATCAGATTAACTAGAGGCAACAGGACAGTACTGCTTGTAGCCTGTTATCCTTCTAGTTGCCCTCTTCCCCTCATCCATGCAGTGAACACGTCTAACTCACACAAAGAATCTGCTAAAAAAATAAGCAATGATTGATGACTCCTCATGTGGAAATGGAAGTTTTGTCTGAGAACTGAAAAACTCACGAGGCAAAACTTTCTCTTAACAATTAGTATATTAGTGAGAGTTTTACTTGGTTTCCAAATTGTGCTCCAAAAATAATTTTCTGTGAGGAAAGTTTGGGCAATACTTGATACATGGTATCTCCACAAGCCAATGGAAGACATATTTAAGAAAATATTTCCAAATTACAAATAAGTAAAACTCACTTGTTCCAAGGCTTTCTTAGGTTATTTCTAGCCAAGACAGCTGAAAGCAAATTCCTCCTGAGACACACTTGTTTTTGTGAAAAATGAAATAACAAAAGAGAAGTGATCCTTATTTTACTAGGTGTTTATGAAGTTACGAATTTTTCTGAATATGTCAGTCTTTGAATTACAGTGGCATGTTTGGAAAGGTTCTCATCTGCAGCCTCTTCAGCTTTTAGACCTTACTGAGCAGATGAAGACATGAGCTCTATTGTCAGCACATTCATGGGCAAACGTCGTGCAGTCTGATAGCAAACACAATTGAGATTCTCAACATTTTCTAGGCTTGTTACCAACATCACTGCTGCTTACCTACACAATATCATCTAGCAAACCTACAAATATAGAATAGCTGGAACAGAAGCTGGATACCACTGGAGTGTTGCCTTAATATTACTTTTTAATGGAATCATATTTCACAGACCAGAAAGGCAACCCCAAACACAAAGTGCAAACAAATCATCACTTTCAGTTGAAAACTGGGTTCCGGATGCCACTCAGGACTGAGCTGTTGGGCCAGTTTCTGTGCAGAAGGGTTAGAGAACATACAAAAAAGAAAATGCTCGAAATTCCTAGGACCACAATGCCTGAAATCAGCGCACTGGTGACTGTGTTCATCTGGAAAGGAGGTCCGTTTGGGTGAGCTGCAAGGAGAAGAAAAATTCTCAGGTAAGATCTGGTTTTATCTCTCATGAGTGCCAAACACTTCTGCCTTCCCCTTCCAACACCCAACGTACTGCATCATTGCAATGAAGGAACTAAAACTGTACCTCAGAATGAGCAGCTGTCTACTTGGATAAAGCTTATCTAAGTACATTTTGAAAACAGTAATTTAATCTTTCAATTTTAATCATGTTGGGGGATAAAGACGTGTGCCTTCTAAGGCATTATCCCTCATCTGCTAGTGACCAACCTTGACCTGTGTTACACAAGGCAAGACTATCATTATTCAAGGATTTATCCAAGGACTGTCAAGGTAGATGTGTAAGGATTTGTGGCCTAATCAAGCTAATGAAAGGATTTCTTCCCCACTATCACTATCTATATTTCAATTCAAAGTTTATGTAAATCAGCAGACATGTCTGGCACAGGATAGTGGACATTCTGAAAGTTTGTTGTACACCTTCGGAAAGGGCTTCTTAATATGTTTATCAATTCTCAGGTAGAAAAGGTGACTAATTATTAAAGTTCAGAAAGCTGTTCATATACCAGTTCTGAGATAATGGGCCACATGCATCCACAGCTGGTACTGTATTTTCTAGCAGGAGGGGAAAAAAAATCATTTGAGTACCAACAAGCATTTACCAGTGGTGGTGAGTGAGGTGAAATGACAACACAGTTTCCATGTGAAAAACCAGACTTCTCCTCCCAGAAGCAGACACCTGCCCTTAACACCATTAATCCCACCCTCCTCACCAAGCTGAAGGGAAATCAGCAGTGTTGATCTGGTCACCCTGCCCTTCCCAACACTGTGCTGCTTTCTGACCCCTACATCAGTAACCCTGCCTCTCTCCACCTCTGTGCTCTCCACAGGGACAGCAACAGGCAAAGGAAAGGCTGCTGCTCTGGGATGGAGAAGCTGCTGCTTTTGGTGGATGGGAAGGAAAGGTAGCAGCCATTAACACAGCAAACTGTGTGCAGCAAATAAAGAATTTGCTTTTTTATTGATTTAATTATATCCATGGGTAGGAGCACACCAGGGAGCAATTAATTACAGGCAGAACTCTCCATGACAGACAAGAACAGCAGCTGCTTTCATATGTTCTAAATTGAGTAAAGAAAGGAACAAAGAGTGTTAGAGTTCAGAGGGCAGGATGGATTCCTTGTTCCACTCAGTCCAGTTATGACAAAATACAAGGTGGAATGGCCCAATGTACCACCTGATCATCTTTTCTTAGCTATCAGCCACTCCTAGTTACCAGCAGAGAACAGTAGCAGGCTAAAACAAGTTTTCCAGGGGCTCAAAGGAAAAGCACCCTAAAACTTAAAGAGCTGATCTCCCCTGCAGCCTGTTTCCTTCACTGCCCTAGCAGGGCACAAGTTCAAGTTTCTCCACAGGCTCTTTGTGTGGTTAAATGCTAGGAGAACAGGAGCTGAAGCTCTGACCTTCTGGTTTTGAGATGTGAACCATGCTAGACCACACCATAATAACAATTTTCCTGCTCTACTCCTGTGTGGCATGGGAAAATTTTACTGCTTAAGTCTGGTTTTGCATCTGGTGGCTATAATGTACCCTTCACCCTAATATGCTGTAGCATCAGATCTTCATTTTGATTTCATCACAGGAATTAAAAGTTTCAATGCAGATGGTACTGGGTGCACAAATTAAACTGAGAATTCCATATTCACCAATTGCTTTCTTTTCAACACATGTTGGAATTGACTCATTTAAACAACAAAAAAACACAAAAAGAAAAAAAAAGAAAAATAAAAAATCCCAGTGCATAAATATTAAGCAAAATGGTTCATCCTCAGCTCTGCTTTTCTCATAAACCCTCTATTATGTTTCTTGTAATTCTGATTAACTTACCGAGCTCTGAATTGTTGGTTGGTGTCTCATCTATATAAAAATAAAAATGGCATGTGTTATACTTTTAAAATACATCTGCCAACCTCCACCCCTCGTGCAACACAAAAGCTAATATTTGTAGCTTTATTTTAAAAATACATCAGCTCTACTTGCAACATTGACTAGCAGCTTTTAGCGTCTCTGTTAAAATATGGACAATAACATTAATTGCATGTCATTGCTTCATTTTTAATATCAGGAGATATTAAAATAGTAATTAATATTTTTAATGTCTTGTGGAAGAACAAACCCATCACCTTAAATCAGGAATCTCTTAATTGAAAAGATGGCCAGTTCCATTTTCTCCCTCAGTGAGAGCACAAGCATAAGCACAAAGTTATGTGTAAGTCCATTCACTTAATCATATTATAAAATAACTTTATAGGAAAAAACTATAGTCAGTGACTACAAATTATTATAGTCAGGGTAACATTTGTATTTTGCCTTCAGTTTTTACTTATCAGTGTCAATTTCAGAATTACATTTCTTGACACTGTTTTGGGGTTTTTTTGTGCAATCCGTAAGCACAGTTCACATATACATTTGTTTTGAGCAGCTGTCTCCCAAGCTAAAGTGAGACACCTATCAAAAGCTACATAATTTTAACTTCACAAGTAGGTACCCTCTTTGTTTCCATAGAGAGACTAAAACATTTTCTCCTGTGTATGTCTCCCTTAATGACTTATTTTAGAATAACAGAAAAAAATAACCTTTCTCTGAAAAGAGCCAAATGTTAGAAACATGAGTTCAGAAACACACAGGAGAGGGACCATCACTATTTTGCAGCAGCACTATTCAGTTCCTACCAAGGCAGCTGCACCAGCAGCTCCACTGCCAGAACAGCTGGTGACAGCTCATGGGGGACCTGGCTACCTTGAGGAGCCTCTGCAGGTACTGGTGAGCACAGGCCAGCCCAGGAGAGCTGCAGCTCCACCCTAAATAAGGGAAGTGAGGGGCTGGAGGAGCCTCTGCAGGTACTGGTGAGCACAGGCCAGCCCAGGAGAGCTGCAGCTCCACCCTAAATGAGGGAAGTAAGGGTCTGCACATCTGCACAGTCCTCCTACTGCCATAGGGACTGTGGTGAGAAAGGTGCAGCAGGTTTGATGAGCTCTGGACAAATGTATCTGTGTTAAAGCTGGACCAGAGCTGTCCTTGAAAAGAGTGTAAAGCACCTCCATGCAGCATCACATCAATGCAAGCCAGTGGTTTGGACTGAGTGCATTCCTCATCAAAAATTTACCTAAATTATAAAAAGTTAACCAAAATTATCCAAATTTATCCATCATCCCGGTAGTTTTGGTCAAGTTCTCTCATGATATTCCCCCTTTTAGTTTGTTAATGAAAGTATTCATAAACCTCCTGGTTCACATGAGCTTATTTTCACAATGGGAATTGACAGCAGGACTAATTCCCTCTTTCTGATCCAGAAGAAAAAGGAAAATACAAGTCAGATTGAGGGACTTGCCTATTGCCACTCATTAAATTTGTGTCAGAGTATAGAATGTAATCCCATTTTTTTTCAAGCACTTCCCATTAAAACATCCTTCCGTCAGCATGAGTAGAATGCTCTGAAAGCACTATGAAACTATGAAGATGAAGAAACCAAAAAAGCTTTACCCACACACCTTTAGAATACACCTAAAAAATTGGTTTCCTTTCTTCAGCCTTATTCATGATTTCATTTAAACAACTTTAACAGTTGTCATGAAATTATAAAATTGTTTATCCTTTCTTTGGGGCCGTTAAACATCCATCAGATCTCTTTGCTCGAAGCTAGGCAGTGTTTAAAAGTAATTGATAAGCATCTTTCTTTTTTTTTGTTTTTTTTTAATTGTAAGAACAGCATTCATAGGACTTGAATCATGAGCTATATTACCTAGCAGGGGCTGCTTGTATAAGAAGCTGTATCAAGTTTCCATTCCTTGCCTGAGGCAGCATTACTCCAGCACACTTGCTTGGCTGAGCAAATCCGTCATTCGTTTCCCACATGTGCTCATGTATGCAACTTTGAAGTTAGTTCTTCTCACTTTTTCTTGGCTAATCAGATGGCAGCAACTCAAATGGGACCAGGTATAATGCAAAAAAATGGCTCATTTTTATTGCAGAAATGCTTCTCATAATGGAGCCTATTTGTTCTAGAAATGGTCTCTCGTTAGGTGGTTCCCCACTCTGCAGGGTCAGTTGCTCTCTTTATATGCAGGTACAACCAGGTGGCATTTAAAGAAAGATTTTATTCTCAAGTTTTAAACTAGACCAGGTTCAGTCCTATTCTCAGCATCCTAAACCTAAGACTGCTGAAATCAGTTGCTTAACTTCAACTACTTATAAGTATATAATTTGTAAAACTTAAACAGCAATCACATCCATTTTTTATTTTTTTTTGCAGACACTGCAGGTTACATTTAGAGCTGCCTTTTGGTTTTTTTTTTTCCCTAAAACAATTGGCAATAAAAATGAAAATCATGGCATTTCACCCTCAATTTAAAGCAGTGGATTTTGGCCCACTCTTTAAAATTTACAATGGTTTTGTCCCATTTCTTTCTTATAGCTGAATCTAAGAATAATGTGCATTAATTTTAAGCCATATGTAGATAAAAAACCCAGAGGGAAGCTGGAAGAAATGGTAAACAGAAAGTGACAGTGAATATTCATTATCCATCCAAATTAAATTGCAACATTGAGCACAGTACCTTAAATTCTATTATCTCCTGTGAAATCTGACAAAAAAAGAAGTCAACCTACTGAGTCTGGACTTTTATAATGGCTTTATATGTATAACAGTATCCCACAGTGATTTTATTGGAGGAGGAAGCATGTGAGAGCAAAACAAAAATACTAGCTCAAAATTTCTACCAAACAAAGTAGTAAAAAATGTAGTAAAAAATAATCAGCAGTAGTAATAATAATACTCAGCAAACTCACAGAGAATTTACCCTTTACATCACTGCAAATTTACATTAAACTGCAAAACATTTCCCCATGTTTCTGAAATTCCTGCAGTCCATAGAGAAAAATTGTTTATTCCTACCACTCCTGGTAATGATGGGGCCAGCAGAGATTACAGCATTGCCAGATGTGCTCTGAGGGCGCCAAGTTGTCCTGCCACCAGTGTCTCTTCTTTCTCTGTTACTGCAGATCTGAGTGGTCAGTCAAAACAATCACAGATTAAGAATTGTGCCCTTTTTGTGTTTCCTGATGTAATATGAACTCTTTGGTAAGCAATAGTAAAACTTTGATTTTATTTCTTAGTATGCATTAAATTACTAAGAAATAAAAACATCTGCAATATTGCCTAGAAGTGTATCTTATAAATTCCTGGCTTCCCATTTTATTTTGCCTCACTTTGTTTACAAAACTACATTGCTGTTGTGTACAAGATCCATCTCATAGTATATTAAACTTTCAGTAGTTAATTTCCCAAAGCTATGTTTACAGACAGTTTTCCCCAACAAATCTGTTTTGCTTGACAATCCCTGTTCTAGCAAGCTTCTTGAGTGAGAGTTTGCACATTTTCCATGGAGTTCTAAATAGCAGTGGCACACTAAAACAACCCTCAGCATTCCCATCTGGATTCCACCTTTAACATTTGTAACCCACCATCTACCTTAATCTAGGGTACTCAAACATGCTTCAAACAAGAGCATTTCCTTAGTTTCAGCTTCTTGTGAAAGAACTTCAGAAACCTCAGAAGACAAATTGAATGCAAACCGAATTACATAAATGTGCAATATAAAAATACAAAATAACACAAAATTCCAGGAGTATACTGAACTGACCACACTTTAAAATTCCAAATGGGAAGTCATTCAGTAGGAAACAATGCTGTGCTCTGAAGTCATCACAGAACTTTGTGTTTATATGTTTATTTAAATGTTTCCATTTCCAAAATATCTTTGTTGTTCCTGATACTCCTAAAATTAGTTAAATAGACATAACCTCATGAACTTCAATAAAAGAGCAGTTTTCAGATTATAAACTCTAAGGGGCATGATATTTTTTTTCACTATGAGAAACTTTCATAAATTTTCCTTGTCAGTATAACAGCACTTCCTATAGCTTTAACTTTTCCATAAATTATATTCTAAGATATTTCTCTTCATCCACTGTGATTATGGATACCTTACTACTATACTAAGAATATCAACCCGAAAGAAACATCTCAGAGTTGCTACTTTTAAAAATTAAGGACCAAAAAGCAAAGAGGTCATTCCTCATATATTCAATAACCTGTGGTTTGCAGGTCTAGTATTATTTTATCTCCAGATGACATTATTCATTTCCATATTCTTCACTAGTTGTTTCACATTCCTTCAGACACAAAAAGCATTCTTACTTCAGTCTGCACAAGTTGCTTTCATTCTGTGCCATCCAAACTTCCGTAACACTTGTATGCAGAACTCCAGTGCATCTATTTTATATCCAGATAATTTCAACTTACTGGCACAAGAAAGGGACAGTCATCTGCTCTGCACAGCTTCGTCACACAGTGAAGGAAGACCGTGGACATCTTCTGGTTCTTGTGCTTCACAAAGCGAAACACCTCAAAGGAAAACCGGCCCATTTGACTCTTGCCGTTTTCAATTATGGTTGTCTGCGGATCCTTGTCACAGCTAGTTTTTGTAGAGAAAAGTGAAACTGGGATGAACAGCTCTGTTAGTATTTTGAAGCTCTCAGCTGAGAAAAAGATAGCTTAAGCAGCAAGTTCAGCACTTTAGTTCCTTGGAAAAGAACAGGGTGCAAGTATCTGCAGACACAATCTGCCTGTCAGGCTGCAGCTTCCAGTGCTGAAACACATTCTTACAAAAACACTGTTTTATTTTGCAGCACCACAGCTGTAACCAAGGTACCATTTAAATCCAGTGCTCAAAGAAACTTGAGACCTGAAGCAAAAAGCAATCAGGTATGCTAACCAGTATAGACAGGTAACTCCAAATGAAGACAGTACCTCTCCAATAGGTGTCATGGATAAAATTTAATCTGAGATACTGCCAAGATGTTTTTCAAAGTTCCAATTCAAATAAATGTTATTACTGGGAGTAGAAGTAGGAGCATCTATTTATATTTAATCATTTGCTTAACTACCTTCCTGAACTGAAGTCTCTGATGTTTTAAATCACTGTCATGCACCACATTCACCTTTGATAAAATAGAGGCCAGGTTAGTCATTCACTTGCAGCATTTATGTTATCTCTAGTAGAACTACTTTGGATATACATATATAAATAAACTTTGTATATATGGTTTTCTACCTTCATAATTTTTATGACTTAGCACCTTTTATATTTATGTTCACACACAAAGAAGCTCTGACATGTTATCTATAAGTCCAGTCCTTGGTCCTGCTTTCTAATAATGCTTTAACTTCCCAGGCAGTTTAAGACACCACTATTGAAGAGATTTGTAAATTTATTTTTTTTAAGGAGGACCAAAAAAAATACTGGGTTTGCACAGCACCTACCTGAAGAAAAGATCATATCGAAGATCATCACTAGGATTGCCAGACGGTGTGGTGTAACAGTAGTCCATCAAAACATTCCACCTGCACAGGGAGTAAAGGCACAGGTGAGGGGAACTGGCAGTGCAGGCATAGGGGGGTGTGAGCGAGGTGAGATGAAAGGACAGTACAAAAAAGCATACAAACAGGTAATGCAGTCTGTACCAGTGAAACTGAATTACTGTGTTAAACAGGTCACATACAGCTTGTCCTGTTTCTTCAACAACTTAGAAAATTAAACAGTACAACATAGCTGCTGAGTTTTATAAATCAAATCATTTGGTTTCATTTAAATCAACCACCACACCAATGCACATTGCACACCTCCTCTCAAAAATCATGGCCCCACAGGACTAGAAATCAAAACCAGCCCACTTTTAAAAGCCCTGGATTTTCTCATTTGGTCCAACAAAGTCCTTTCCTAAATAAAAACAATATAGGATTTAAATTATAATTCAGGAAAACTTCCATAATGAGAACTGCAGCAAGATATGCATTCACTGCCAAGGGCCTGACACCCTCCAGCTGAGAGCAGTGATTATTGAACACCAACTATTATTTTGAAATACAAAAAGCTGTAAGACAGATGCTTCTAAATCAGATAAGTAACAAGAGCTGAAAAGCAAGCAAGACAAGAAATAACACCCTTTATGGTACCTGCCATCAAGGTTGGTTGCTCTTACAGCTGCATATATTTTGGTTTTCAAAGGTAAACCTGTACTTGGAATAAGGAGTTGCTGGCTGTAGGTTGAATCCTGTAAAACAAACATTTCCTCAGTTGTAACAGAAATTCCACTCTAACAACCCATCTGCATCCAGACTGAGCCCTCAGCAATTTTTCTGACCCTTCTGTGTAGAACAATTGCTTACTTTGTCCTGTGTAAGGGAAGAAGCAAAAAGCAGTGCCAGAGAAATTGCCCACAAGTTTGTCTTTAAAGACTGGCTTTTCCCCATGCAACAATTTGGGAGAATATCTGATTTAATAAGGTGGTGGGATCAGTGATTAAAGAAATCATACCATTCACTGACACTTCAGTCAATCTCCCAGAGCTTACAGGCAAGCATAGGAGCTACTCTGGTTTTCTAACAGAGGAGCTTCACTGGGTTGTCACACTGCACTCCTTCCCAGGAAAGGTTGCTAAGGTTATTTGAATTAGTGGAGGTAGCAATGCCTTGAGATGTTATATATTTTAAGCTATTGTCTTGGAGAACAAAGACATTCTGTTATACAAAGTGTAGTTTCTATGGAAGCTGCCTTGTTGAAAACTACAAGTAACAAACATTTTCATTTAAATTCTAGTATTTCAAAAGAGCTGTTTCAAGAAAGCTGTATTCAACATAAAAGTTGGGAATTTCTGATATACTACTACTTAAATATAGCTGTTTTACTGGGGCTTTTTGTTCAAAATCTAAACCATTAAGCTCACTTTAGCAACAAAGCCATGAAACAGCCCTGTGTGAGAGATATTGAGAATATCAAAATGCACTGTTTGGTAAAGTCACCTGTGTCAAAAACATTGCTAATGCAGATAGCAGAGTGACTCACCATGTTAAGGCCTCCTGTGAAAGGTCAAAACACTCAATACACATGAAAAAAAACACCTGGTAAATAGGATTTCAACCAGGTTCATTGTGGCAAACGAGACCATGGCAGGCAGCAGGTGATAGCAACAAGAAGGTTTGCACCAGAGACCAAGTGATTTTTTTTTTTCAAAGGTAACAATGCCAAATTGCACTGCCCAATATCTACTCTATGCAGTATCAGAGGCCTTCAGGTAGGTTTGCCTTCTTTCAAATTAATTATACATTTCTATAATACTTAGCTCTGCTACATTTTGCAACTCATTAAGAAGTGCAAAACCCTCATTATTACACTCCATAGTTGCTCTTTTATTCTTTAAGAGTAGTTTTTATTCATTTGGACAGACGTTTGCAAAAAGGCATAAAAGCACATAGCTACTTGGGCTCTGTGAAAGCCCATTAAACATTTTGCTATTATACCCTGAGTCTATCATAACAGCTCTTCTTATCTTTCCTAACAATGGCATGTACAAACATCACAAAGTAAATCTAAGCAACATTTTATGACAGAAGACACAGGTAAGTTAAGAAGATGAAGAGTCAGTGTTGAGAAATAACACTACAGCTGAATTAGGAGAGGACAGCCACTTGCAGTTGAGAAGCACATCTGTACACATCCCCTCACTAACAGCAAGGCTGGACATTTCCTCCCAAAACCAGGGCTGCTAACAGAGATCAAGAGGGCCCACATGACAAGAGACACTCCCAGCAGGGGAAAATGCAGGCAGTGCACATGCTGTCCATGTATTTATCCAGCCCTGGGAAGTGAAGCAGGGCATGTCCACCACTGGAATCTGCCAGCCTTAGCAGTATTATTCATGATGGTGCTACTCACTAGGGTGAGTCATGTCACTGCTATCAGGCTGAAAAGACACCACTGTTCATGGTCAACTTGCAAGTTTACAGGGGTGGGCAGGATGAAAGCACATTTTGGAGTGGGATATCTGAGGAAAAAATGTGTTCAATAGGAGCATCAATAGCATTTATTCCTGACTGCTGAATTGGCAGTCAACAGGCAGTGGTCAATGCTTGGCCTGACTAAGAAATTTTCCTATCCTCATTCTGCCCCATCTTTCTGATTACAGGGTTATTTAAAAATGAGAGAACTATAATCATCATTTTAACAGATTATAGGTTGTTATTTGGAGCTCTGCTCTTTCAAACAAACATGATTTTTTTTAGAGCATGCCATTGAAAAATGTCCTGTTGCAATATTTATAGCTCATTATGTTCAAAGCATAAAGCATTGACTTTTAAATCAGTTGCATGAATTATAACTCAGCAACACGATGGCATGAATAATAATGCAAAAAAAATCGGATTCATAATTTACAAAAATGATGCTTGATAGATTGAAAAATTGATATTTAAATCAGGTATTTAAAATGTATGAGTGAAAATTTTAATCAACACAAAAATATAATTTCAGGGATTAATGTTAAGTAAAGGTCCTTGCATTTTTTATGTTCTAGTGTCACCAACCCATTTTACATGGTAAAATCTTTTAAAATAATGCATATTCAAATCACCTAAAACATAAGGACGAACAGTTTTCATTGGATGAAAACTGTTATAATTATTAACCCTTAACATCTGTGAAGTCCACATATAAGACAACATATGCACCAGGCTATAGATCTGGAACCAATATAGCCTTCATGACAATCACAGATGATCAAAACACTCTGATGAGGCTTGAGCATAAAAATAGCCCAGCCAAAGTGCTACAGTTCATTGCTATGGGAATAGGTCTGGAATAATTTTGCAGAATACTACAGAGTACTCTCTGTCAAAGCACAAAGCACCTATACACACACACAGAAACATAATAAATGCAAACAAAATATGCACTCTGCAGTATGATTATTATGGCTACAATTGATTAGTCACATGGCACTACCAACTGAAAGCCAAAGCTGTAAATTGAGGAACTGTATACAGGACAAAAAGACTGTGTCTCTCCTCAAAGACCAGCTATATAAATACAAGACAGCAGGTACGTGCAAACAAAAAGGAAAAAGGAATTCAGAGATGAAAGATGCCTGGAAGAAAGGCTTGGCTCATGGGAGGAGTGGGAAGGAAACAGCAAATTATGAAGAGGCATCTATACTTTGGTCTGCTAAAACAGTTTGTATCCACATAGCACAGAGATTAATTTAGTCCAGGTCATACTGTGGTTTATACTCACATTATAAAGCAACAAATTCAAAGTACTGATAAATGTACCATTGTTCTCTCTTACAGAAATAGCAGCTGATGACCTACAACAGAACCAGAAACCAAAAACCATCATGAAGAAAGATACCTTATTTGTGTTTTTGCATACTTCACTGGGCTTTATCATTAAAAAACTCAATGAGTCATATCACAAGGAGTTAATTTATGCATTTGGGTTATAAACTTCAGAAACAGGAATTTATAGTGGAAATACTGACAGTCTTAACTATGCAGAAAATAATGGATGCTGCTGGAAACACGAATCAGAAGAATAATTAGCAGAGAGGCAAAGTGACAAAAAAGAACTCACTTTACATAATGTACAACATTTACTCATGGAAATATTTTCTCTTGCATTCTATATTTACAGGCTTACAAACTATTTTGTGAAGATTTTTTTGTTTGTTTTTTTAATGCTATGGTTTTTCAGAAGGGCATCTGAATTTTAAGGGAAGTTTTACATTGTCTAAGGGTATCTTCATAAAATATATTATTTCATATTAAGATGCTACAAGTATTTCTTTTTCCTTGCAACACTTTTGGTGCTTTTTGTCCTTTTTTTTTTTTTGCTACATGGACAATGCTGTTACAGCATGTGCATATGCACACTTACACAAAGGTGGGGATGAAACACAGCAATGGAAAAGCACACTTACGAGGCGAGCTGGGTATTGTTAACCAAGTACTCCAGTGGGTAGCTACAGCTAAATTTGTACAGAAGGCCAGGCAAGTAGCTGATGATTGTTGGTGGGTCAGGTGTATCAATGTACCCTGAAACATTTCCTATCTGCACCACTGAGGTATTTCCATAAGCATTGATACCTCGAGATGAGGATACCTATTGAGGAAGACAGAAAATTACTATTAGCTGAAGTTAACTGTGGAACGAAGCAACTTAAGGACACTGATGGTTTAGCCCATAATTTACCCTGAAATATCTTCACTAAAACCTTCAAAGATTAATTTAGTTTAATAACATCTTCCCTGTGTTGTTTTTCACCTCCCTGGAATCATGAGCATAAAAATCACAAGCTATACCTCTGTTCTTAGAACAACATTTGAAAAGAATTATGAGTTTTGGAAACATATTTTTTGGTAGGTACTTTTTTTTTTTCTACATTCCCAATGCATTCATGCAACTTACTGGGAAAAACTAAAGCAGCTTTTCTGTTACAGTTAAAAAATATTACCTTACAATGAGATTCCTTATCCAATAAAAAGGTCAATACACAAGCAATTTCGTTCACAGAAACAATATTCTCTCACTGTTGAGCTTTGGTTTGGACACATCAAAAATAAGGTACTTTATAAACAGACACAAGCCAAATAGTTGAACCTTGAGTGTGGGCCTTTGTTTATATTATACATTTCTAAATCTTAATTATAAACTCTAAACTGTCAGAAATTAAAGAGCTGAAAAGCAATACTAACTTAATGCCAATGCAACCTCCGTGGGCATGTTCCATTCTGTATTGCTCAGCTCACAGAGTGTGCAGAGCCTGCAAGAGCACACAGCCCTCAGGAAAACTGAGGGATGCTTCCCTCCTGGTATCATCCCAGTCCCTCTCCATCCATAGCTACTGATCTGAGTAAGGGGGTGGTTTGAAAACAGCTGAGAAGCAGCACAAATTCCTTTCCCAGCAGGCACATACACAACAGGGCAAATTAACATGTCACTGGACTTCTACTGCAGCATTTTTTGTAGAACTGTATTAGCAAAATAGATGTTCTCAGTAGCTTTAAAACACATGATTTCTTAAAAAAAAAACATTTCATTATGGAAGAATTGTCCTGAGGTGCACATGAGTTGTAACATTTTGCAGTAATTACCAGTGGATACACAGCAGGAATTTTGACTTCTTTGTCTACTAAAAAACACTCCTAAAAGACAGAAGCAGGCATGCATTTTACCCATAGCATACCTAGTAATTTTCTAAATGGCACAAAAATGTTGAAAATAGAATTTCCCAGGATCTGAGTTTTGCCTAAACAGTACAGGCTAAAGTAGTTCAGTCAACTACAGCTTTGTTAACGTCGTCACCACCCCACCACCATAAAGCAAAAAGCTGAGTCTGCTGCATTAGAGAAAGACCTGGGTTTTACACAAGTTCTGCCTGAACTGTTGTCTTTCCTTTACTTTTATTGAAAATTAGCTTGAAAGTATTTGCTGTGAAACACTGCCAAGAAATGCAGGGGATTGTCAAACTCCAGTGTGGGGAACACGATAAGAAATGCTCCCTGCTCCTTTTTTGTCTTCATTTGGGGCACAGCATGAATAAACAGAGAGGATGGGAGGAATATTTTTGGTTATATTTTTAGCAGCTGCTACTTTGTCTTTGTATTCAGTGCAGCTTGGTGGGGGACTCTATGAGGAGCTCCAATTATTTGGACTTACGCTGAGGGTCGTTTTATTTTGTTTTTTAAACATCAAGCTCTTAGGATCACGATCAAAGAGCAGGTTCAGGGGGTTTAGAAGTTTACCAACTACACAGGAATAGGAAAAAGGTGCTTCCTGGAAAGTTCTTCTAACTGCAAGTCATGGAGGTGCTATAGTTGGAAAAGGGAGTCTTGAATTGGCTGAACTGGTTTTTTGTTGAAATTTAAAAAGAAAACTCAGCCTAAGGCAAAGAGGTCACAGAGCATATCAAACATTTCAGCAAAATTATTAGCAACAAAACAGGGGCTTGTTGGAAAAACTGACAGACATCAAGTACAAATAGGAATTCTAGAGAGAATGAAACCTTTGAAAATAATACATTTTTAAACTTTTTTTTTAAGTTATTCATAGGTACTTTGATATTACTCAATGTGATACACACAAACTGTGGGACTCTCCACTTCTGCAAAATCTAAGCCATGGTGAGCAAGAATTTTGGAAACATTTTGGAAAAATTTCATTCTTCCACTGAAAAAAAATACTTCAATTAAAATTATACTTTCTAATCAAAGGAAAAATGTGTGTCCCACCATATTTTCTCAATACTAATCAAGATTATAAGTCACCAGCTTTTTCTGGGTTTTTTTTGATGCAATATGTTTCTATTTGGGTAAGACAAAGTAAATATTATCTATAAAAGATAGAATACTGTCAAGAGCATTCACTTGATCCTATGTACACACAACCATGCTATAATTTCACTTTGACTTGGTCTTACCACTAAAGTGTTTCCACAAGATTCCAAAGTACTCAGATTGATGATGAAAATGACCACTGCTGGAAAGGTGTTGTTATTGATGAAGCCCCTGCAGTGGGCATCCCCATGTTTCCCATTCAGTGCCAGGTCTGTCTCAGAATAGCCAGAAAAAAGAACTGTGCAAAAATTTATCTTCATAGTAATTGTCTGTACTCCACAGAAAACATTGATATCTCGCTCAGCTGCAAAAAAAATACAGGGAAAGACACTGTAAGACGATTTGAAGTAATCATCATACAACTATTGTAGCAGTTAGTCTAGAGTTGTGACTTCCAATCAAATGATTTTTTAGATTTCAGTTGCAGCAAAATATTAGAATTTAAAGGTAGGAATTGCATTAGTCTGAAGAACAGATTTGACTCTATCACTTCACTATAGAAAAAAACAAGAATTATTATAGCAACATAGTGTAATCAAGCAAGAAATACATTAATCCTGCAGCAAATCTTTTAGTAGTTTCATGTTATATAATGAAACACTGCAACAGAGTAGAAAACAGCAAGTGGTTAAATATTTGGAGTCTGATTAAGCAGCCCCCTCTGGAACAGAAATTTCCAGCAATTTTGAGAAATTGAGAAGGCCAAGCTCTGCCTCCCAGCCCACTCTGGCATGGAAACTGGCTACATTTTTCTGAGTTGTCTGGAGTCCACTTTGTATGAGATCACAGTCTCAGGCTGTGCAGACTTTGAACTACAATCAACAGCATATCCAAGTAATTTATTATGATCTCTCTAAAGTTGGCTTTCCTGGGTTTTGGGGTTTTTTGTTGTTTTTTTTAAGAACTATCAACTTGAGCTTTAATGAAAAATCAGTTGGCTCTTGAAAGACAATGATCAATACTACAAAGCATCTTGCAATCTTTCATTCTGTGCATTATGACAACACAAAAGACCTAGAAAGCAGCAGCTGTTAAAACTGATCAATTTTTGAACAGCAAAAAAACCGTCTTCAGACAACTTGACCTCTTATTCAAAAGTTCTTAGGATTTTTATGTACTGAATGGAAAAGCATCAGGTTCAGATACAGGCATAAGCAACAGATTGTTTTGCTTTAAAGCTCTAACATTGCTCTTCTTTAACGTCTTCTTTGCCCGTAGATGTTTGGGGGGTTGTTCTGGTGTTTCCCCCTAGTGCTTTACAAAAATATATACTACATTGTTTTAAACACAGACATTACTCCTTTATAGAACTAATTTATTACATCTGCTTAAAGATTAAGGGCTATTAAAAACTGTAGAACAACTTCAGTCAATAATGTACCATTAAGCCTGCTAAAATGAATTGTTTCACTGCATAGTCACAGCAGAGAGGAAATGAAATTTCCATTACAATGAACTAGTTCTTCCCCCATGGTACAGGAGCAAAAGCAGTTTAATTTAGACAGCCTTAATGGTGGCTTTCAAGCCAAAACAATCAAGTGCAGAAAATAACAGGCCAAACTCAGTACTGAGCTAATGCCATGATAAATGTTACTCACTGGGTGTCAATTTGGGCAGAAAGGTACTGGAGGCAAGACAGGAGTTGAAGCAATTTGGCATTAAATTCTCCTGATTTGTACACAATCATAATCCCACTAATGTAACACACAAAGATCAGGAAGCAGCATGCTTTGGTTTTCCAAAAACTCCAAAGCAGGAGGACTATTTATTTGATCCATTTAATGAGTGTACTAAGGTAGAGGGGACAGTACAAAAAGGGGAATGGCAAAGGGTGCATTTACACTTTCTTGGACTGATGCACAAACAGATTGTAACTAATTGCAGGATGCAACAAAGTAGCTCAGTTAATTTCATAACTCACTTCAAGCCTTTTCAAAAAGCAGAACAATAACTTTACCAATTAAGTTACCATTACTGCTTGCAAAATTATCATTTGGCACCATGGGAAATGAGGCCATACTGTACAAAACCAACTTGTGTGATACAGAAGGATAAACAACCTTTCCAGACAACCTTCTCTGTCCACTACTTCATGAGGAAATATTGCTTCCAAATGAGTCCATTCTGGAAATAAAACATTTTTTGTTCAGAAAATTATTTGAGGCCAGTCGCAAACAGATCTCATGCCCTCTTAGATGTTAAATATCTAGCTCATTTCTTGACAATTTGGGAAGGTAAATATTATTCCTATATAAGTTAAAAGAAACAAACAAGAACAAAAATGTATTTGCATTCCTGCATTAAAAGCTTCTGGTTTTCTGAGTCAGAGGAGCGATGATTTCAAGGCACCCAGCTGATGAAGCCTTAACTATAATGGCCTCTGTCACAGAGTTTCCATGCAGACAGACCACTTGGTTTCTTTCTGACTCAAATCACACAAGCTACATACAAGGCAGCAGTGCTCAAGGATGGCTCTCAAAGAAGAGAGTAAAACTCAAGAAGTACACAGATCCTACAGTAACAGAGACCATCTTGAATTATGGGGAGACTCATGGGGGGAAATGCTGGGAGCTCCACTCCCACTTCTGCTCTGTTACCCCCTCCACATATTGACAACTCATCCCAGGGCAGGCAGTAAGAAAACCTTCAGAGGACAAGAGTTTTCCACAAAACACCATCGACAAAAGTCATTCCATCAGAAGAGGAATGAAAAGACCTGTGTAGTTCAAAACCAGTTTCTCCTCATGGACCTCATCTTTGATCAAATCACTGCTCTGATATTGAATTAAAATGCATAGTGTAAGTGAAAAAGAAGCAACATTTCCTCAGTCCCTACTAAGTTCTCAACATGTACTTAAGACAAGAGCTCCCTGAACCAAAACTGCATGTCCCAACTGGAGACAGGCTGCTATGGCTCTATGTATCAGTAGCCCTCTAAAAGCTATGCCTTACTGCAAAGCAGAGATCAAGCTTTTTTCCCCTAAGTAAGCCTTCTGAATGATGGCAAGATCTAACCTAATTATGTATTCTCTAGAACACATCTAGCTTTTGGTACAAAAAAAATCACTGCATTTTCTGTCTACCAAAAATGGGGCTATTTTTCCTTTATTCCTGATGACTATTGCATACCTGCAATCTAAAATTAACCTGCAAAGTGCAGAAATAAAAGTTCTGTCTGATTGTCATCCTATTTATGCAGCACCATTCCTATGCAAGAAGTCACCTAAGTGATGGATGATAAAAGCACAAACAAATGAAAAATGGATGAGTTCCATGGTTCCTCTAGGAAGGCTTCCCTTGTTCTCCTTGTTGAAGACAGCTTCTGTTTCTTATCAACATTTAAAGAAAAAGAGGAGACAACTTCAACACCCAGTGGATTCTCCAGTATCTGCACACCATGCTTGGAGTTCCAGCTGACAGCAATAAAGACCCCTTGTGTGGAACAAATAAGGAACAGGAAGAAAATCTATCCATAGCCATATCCATAGCCAGGTTCTGTGAGTCTCAGCCTGGAAGACACTGGTTTTAAAATGTTCTCCTTTTTGACCTCTCTCTCTCCTCTCCCATTAGATTTGAGCCCCAAGGGCCCTGAGGCAGCATGCCCAAAACCACAGCCCGAGCCAAGTGCTGGGGAAGCCAGCACAGGAAGAGTGAGCCCCTTCTCCCTGCAGAGGATCTCTCACCCATCTTCAGCACCATCTCAGCCCCACTAGCCCCAGCCCATTATGTACCAGACCCTTCTGCATATTGAAAATAGCACCTGTCAAATCTGGGGCAAAAGGGGATCCTGGCTTTTACCTCCATCTTGGATGCACAACTGACAAACAGAATTATTCTGTTTTCCTAGCTCTCAAAATCAAAACAGTAAGACTGTTGATTAAATTCTAGCCCTTGAATCTTTGCTGCCTTAGATGAAAAACAAGGAAAAGCAGGACTCTGTTCTCAGATTCTATGGACATTGAGGGGTGATTAGAATTTACTTTAAAAAAAAAAATCTGTTTACTTGTAACCTAAACAGATTTTCTCCCAAGACAATGAGATTTGGCAGACACAGAATCTGATATGACTCATTTTTATGAGGCAGAACTGCAAGAGGCCCCTAAATACCCTCAATAAGAGATGAATTCAATTCGCAGGTATCACATTTCAAATAAACATTGGCACAGAGCAGGTGCAAAAAATGACCAGAGAAAAATTTTAAAACACAGAGAGAAGAACATAAACTTCCCTCTATCTGTTGCAAACCTCTCAATGAACCTAAAACAGGGACCAAAAAAAGCCAGAATTACATAAGAAACTCAAAAGGTAGCTCTGAAGAAGGGGGGCAAAATTCACTCACACTTCAGGGGCAAGCCTGTAAAAATTAATACTAAGGGGAATATATATAATTATAAAAAATAGAAGGGTTATATATATGTGATATATATCACACACACATATTATATTATATGTGATTTTCTCAGGAATGGAGACAATATATATGGTCTCCTTTGAATGTCTTATTTCTCTGTTCTTCGTGTTCATATTGATTAAGTGGAAAAGAATCAAACCCACTGATGGTCCTTATGGCAACAAAGCACCTAGCAGTGTGATAGTAACACAGGAATCAATAAACAGATTTTCTGCCTTCTGCTGACTTAAATTTAACAAAAGAGCTGACCCTTCCCGAAAGAAAAAAAAAAAAATCAAAATTTTTATTATTCAGAAAGCAACAACAGGAAAGGTATTACAGTGTAATACTACACTGAGTGTTCATTACTGAACTACTCAATTCAATCGCTATCTCAGAAAAACAAGATGTGAGAGAGACAGTATTCACAGCCTACTTTTTATTATTGTTATTCTGCCCAAGATACAACTGAAGCAGGAAGGATAAGAAATGTAATAGAAACTAAAAGGGTCCTTTGCCTGAGTAAACCCTGATACTATGCCACTAAGACCGACATTTCATTTCTATTTCTCTTTGTATTAACAGCTCTGAACATCCAATGTCCCCAAAATTACTTCATTCCCATCTTCTTAGAGGAAGGAAAATACATCATCCATAGAAATATCCCATTGCTTCACCTGTCCCTAACCAAGGACTTAATGTTGAAATGAGGCACTAAAGTTTTGTCATCAAGTTAATTTTGCTTAAAATAGATACATATTTCATTATTTTAATAAAAGGATATAATTATATTCTCTTATGCAAGAAAAGAAAACTATGAAACCCAGACATAAAAGAAAACCCAGTTAGAAGTGTGAGAGTATTAAATCTACAGAGAACATTTACAACAATATGAGCTCTGGTGAATGTTTTAGAGCTCTGGCAAAAGTGGGTCAAGCCCCACTAGTGTGAGGGGAATTGCTTGCTTTGCTACCAGGCTGAATTTGACCCATTGTGCAATTAAGAAAAAAGTAAAGTGCAGCATTAGACAAGTTCATTGTCACAAAAACAGTTAACACTCACTTAATGTGGAGTCCTATCCCCAGGCTTTAGACAGATTTAAAGCTCTGTATTTAAAAATAAGCACTGCTTTGAACCAAGACAATAAAGAAGCCATTAGAAAAAAAGTCTATTAAATACTTACCAGGAAACCTGCTATGGAGGTTAGCATCACAGTTGTATCCATTGAACTGAGCAATCACTGGAAGCACTTTAATCGTCAGCAGGAGCAGCAACCATACCTGTTCCATTGCAAAACCTAGCAAAACATTAAGTGGTTATTACACACATCTGTTCATTGCACTAAAGATGCTAACTGCAAACATTCTATCACTCAGGAGGCGATGGTCTCCAGCAAAGGAACTGGGGATAAAGCTCACAAGCTTGTGGAGAAAGAGGTCACAGAAAGCAGGGCCCATTTCTCTGCTCCTGAGTAATGTGTAATTTCTACTGACTTCTACAACTTTGAATCATAACTTGTGGCAAAGTAAAAGGTATTCAAGGATAATATCAAATGTGAAAAAAAAAAAAAGCTCTAAAATATATTTATAGATTAGAATTGCTTGAATGTTTAAATTCAAACTGGTTTTTGACATTTCAATGTAAAATTCCTTGAGAAAGATGTCTTGGCTAAAATAAAACTATTATTCCAAGTCATGGAAAACCATGGAGATACATGGTTAGTTCAGCAATTGTCAGGCTCAAGATCCTAGAATAAAAACCAGTTTATATCTATTTGCTAAACATTTGTTCTTTGCAGCACAAATGTAATTAAATTGAGCTTACACAAAGAGCTGGTAGCGACGCTTGCATCTACTTGAATTGTATCTGGCAATCAGAACACGTGAATTTCTAGTGTTCTCAGTAATGATTCCTTTTGCAAGGAAAGCTCCAAAGTGTAATAGCTGTGGTGTTTACCACAACCAAAAAAAATCCCCAACTTCTTATACAAGTCCATCAAAAGCATCCCAAAACATTGAGATTTTTGTCAGTGAACCCAAGTGCACTAATTTTTTATTTGGTTTATTTTGTTTGTTTTTTTATATATGCAAGATTTTGTCATTCTAGAGAATATAGCTGCTGATGTAGACCCCAAATGTGGCAATGCTCTCCATTTGCCTAGACAGGAGCTCAGCAATTCTAAGATTTAGGAAATTGCTTCCTCTAAGATTACAGATCAGCTCTCTCTAAGTGGGTAAGGAACATGTGCAAACCTCAGAGATACAGAATACCTAAATCAGCCACACCTGGCATGGCAAGGGACTGTCCTGCATTGCTGAGGAGAGCTGGCCACAGCACATGGAGAGAACTTTTGAGACAAACCCCCATTCTTTACTGAATCTTTCAAGGCTACACAGCAATAGCAGTCTGAGCTACTTCTCCTCAATAATGCAAAATATTTCGCTAATTTTCAAACCATGCTCATTTAATGCTCTGTGTGGAAATAAAACCCTTTAGAGGACACTCACATTCTTTGTCAATGAACAGATCAACTCCAACAAAACACTGACCCAAATTCTTCTAAAATGTCAAAGGTAAGTGTACAGCCAATGATTCCTGTGTAATTCTGCTTAGAAATACATGGAATGAAATGCAGATTTGGAAACACCAGCTTCCAGCTCAGCATGTACATTTGGGAAGTTAGGTGTAACTTTTGCTATTATCACATCCAAAAGCAGCTCTCTCACCTAGTTCTTCACAACTTTCTCCATGTGTGAGTTACAGAAACAATGCAACCTCCTTTGTGTTTCAGGTGGATACTAAATTCTAAACAAAAGCCCTCTTTAACCCTTTATGCTTTTTCCATTCGATTCCTGTGGAGGTTGACAGCACTTGCACCTAATGTAAATGAAGAATTGTGAAAACATAAGAAAGAAAATAAAACTTCCAACTGGGTTGCTATGAAACCTCTGTATTTTCATGATCTCTTCACCCTGTCCATCACTCTCAGATGGAGAAGCACAGCAGTGTTTTGCTTGTTTGTTTACTATGGGAATTCATATGTTATTTTGAAAGAAACATCTTTTCCTTCAGAAAATTGGCATTTCTCCAGTGTCCTGGAGCCTTACCTCTGCTTGTACAGCAGTTACATTGATAGAGGGGGTATTACCGCTCTCTTGTATATGGGCTGGTTTCTGATGTCCTTTGAAATGGGATATATCAAGGGCAATTTACCAAGGTCTAAATCTGAGTTTAATTTTCTAACATCCATAGTGGTTTTCTGCTTGCAAAAAAAAAAAAAAAAAAAAAAAAAAAACACAAAAAAACGCTGTTTGGAAAGAGTTTAATGAAAGATGCCACTGATAAAGCTGTAGCTATTATTTTAGATGAAAAGCAGAACTTCACAATAAATTCCAAAATTTTGATTATTAAAAATAACTTGCTGCATTTTAAAGGGAGGACAGATGATTGCTAAGGAACAAATCTGAATTAAGACATTAAGTATTTATAGTGTTATTTCTCTAACTGTATTCAGAACAATTCAGATTTTAACACAACCAATAATGTCCTACTTGCATTTTGGCTATTTACTCATCTGCATATGGATCAACATGCAGATCCACATCACCAATTGAGCTGACTCCTTCTGCTTTTTGGTTAAATAAGCTAGGAACATACATTATTTTTAATTTCTCAAAAGAACTGCAGGGCTAGAAAGCACCCTGAGAGGCCAACATCACTGATCTGCCCATCCCAGACACAATTAAGGCAGCCATTCCTGCTTTTCCAGCCTGGTCTTAAAGGCACCAGCAAGCTATTTCTCAAGAGAAATTTCTAAATTTCAGCCCCCCAAAATGTGTAAGGCATCCTAACCTAAAGGTTTCTACCATACTGAAATGACAGATCATTTAATGCAATTATAGAAACAAAAAAGTTTTATCAAAATAGTAATGGGAACATGATTATTATTGCTGTCATATGAATATGAAAATAAAAATCCATGTACAAAACTGTAAAATAAGTGTCAGGAATGGGATGATTTATAACCCAGGAGTGAAATTCATGAGGAAGACATCTACCTTTTTTTCTTCATTTAGTACTATAAATGTATATATTAGTATATATAAGTATATATAAAGTAGATTCTTAGAATGCCTTTTTTGAGGAACGCAGCTCTTGGTGTTTTCAAACAAAAAGGGGCTTCTATGATCTACAACAAACATATTTGGCTGTTAAGACTTCCAGGATTAAAAACATGCCAACACATACTGCAGTGGAAATCTGACCCTCTCTGATTAAACCCCTAAAGAACAAACCCATCCCACGTTTCACTGATGCACCAAGACTGATGTACCAGGCCCTGCAGTTCTGTGCTGCACACCACTGAACACTACAGAGAGGTCAGAGTTGCAACACCAAGTCCTCACTTGAATTGTTATCACTTTACAAAGCCCTTGTCCCTGCTTTGATAAACTTCACCGTGTCAGAAAACCTGCAGAGGATTCCCAAGTAAAGATGTTTATGATTTGAACATGACAAGCTTTTGCAGTCAATTTAGGAATTTAATTCCACTGAGAAGCTGTAGTTTGATTTAAATTCCCACTTCTTTCCTCTGTCATGACCTGATATTCATTTCTCTTCTTTCCCATTGTCTCTAAAAAGCTCTTCAAAAATTTTCCATTGTCAACAGCATTCACTGATTCAGCCCAACATTGTTTTTAAATACATTTGTGAGCGAGTTGTGACTTTGTGTACATTATTATTTCAAATATTCTTCCTGTATTTTATAAGAACTTCCTGTAATCCACTGCTTATTCTCTATTTTAAATTCACAGGGTGTGGCAGTTCAGCTAGCAGAATAATATGGTGATCTTTAGACCTTCTGACTGGATACATCTTTCAAAAAGAATATTTGATAGTAACAACAAAAATTTCTGAAAGAAAGTTAGAGATGTGATGAGAACATAGTAAGGTGGTGGCACATTTATAAGTGTTTTCATATATGCCTAATACACCTGGTAATTGCCTAAATGTTGTATAGCAATGTACATTAGGTATCTACAAGTAATGAAATAGGAACATTACTTCTGCTCATAAAATATTTTCAGATTATAATTACACAGTTCAACAAGTCCCTCTCAGTAATGTCATGACAAAATAGTTCCTTGTCCTTCTGGCTTACATTCTTCTTTCTGCCACACCTGCTTCTGCATGTGCACCCAAGAAGTGAATCGTTATGAAGTTCATTTACTGTGCCACTGTTGGGTCCTCCAGAACCACTCTGCTTCTAAACACACAAGAGATCATTTGCCATCACTTAAAAGTAGCCCAGTAAACAAAACCAGAACACTTCTCTACCTCAAGTTCTTCAGTAGAACTTTCTCTTTTCACTCCTACATGCAATTGAAATAAATTTTCCAGATCGTTTTCACAATCACCTTCCACTTTATATACCCTTGGGTCTTATGATGTGGATAAAACAGGACTTGGATCTTTACAGCAATTGTTTTAAAGATAAGCCTATCTAAAGGTGATAATTGCCATTTTTTAGAAGATTTTTTGTAGAAAAAAGGGAAACTGAGATGCAAATAACTTTAAGACACATTTCAACTACAAAATTTCTCTGTTTGTAGATAATCTTTGGTTCTAAGACTTTGAAACACTTATATCTTTCTTTAGAGTGTTCTGTGATTTCAGACTCGGTAATGCCATCACATTTCTGACACATAGCAAAACCTGCAAAATGGAAAAAATAAATATATACAGACACTCACACACATAGATGTACATGACAAATGCAAACACACAGAGGCACACACATGTATCTTGAAGTTCAACAGTTTCTTACTAAACCTATGAACAGTCTGTAATTAAGGCTTAAATTACAGTATATAAGGACCCACAGCAAATGTAATAATTTTACATATATGAGGAAATAATAAAACTAAGAACATCATAAATCAGTTCACCTCAAAATGCACAAAACCAGCTGATTTTTCACACATGAAAACTGTGAAAATATTTTTGTTTTAAATAAGTAAATTAATCTCTCTAGTAGCTATTCAGAACACAGCAGTTCTGGACTGAATGAGAAAGGCCACAATTTAAAAACACACATTAGTTGGGCAGAGACTTGCCTTTAGCATCAATTATGTGGCCCCAGAATGACCTGCATGCATTTTCCAGTCATATTTTTCCCCTCAGTTCTTGAGATTTATAAAATGAATCCTGAATTAGATCCATAATATATTACACTTGTAATTAAATATTGGGTCAAAGCTTGGAACACCTCCTTAATCAAAGTTCTAACAGAACCAAACAGGAGCGTTCCCTCACCAATACTAAATCATAGCTGAAGTCTCAAATGCCAGGAGGTTTTGCGATTCATGTAGGTGCCCACACTTTACAAGGAAAATGAGACTGAAAAAGTAATTTTTGCAGTTTTTGAAAAAAAAGCTTTTGTTCTGCTTCAAAAGTTTAAAAATTCTAGCGTAAGTTAAGAGAATTTTGAGTTGTTTTCAAGTCTTCTTGCAGTATTCTCTTTCACAGAACGAAAAAGCCAAAGGGTCTGAAAAAGAGATGTTAAATTTCCACAAAAGGACGCCACATCAAAATCATTAGACTTTAATCTGAAAGACCTCAAATTGTACCAGTGCACTACAATGAGCAACTTCTATTCAAGATCATAAAATATTTATATGGAAGCAATACATATTGTGCTTCTGAAATGAAATAATAATAATATTAAACCCTGCTGAACACCAAAAGGGTGAAAACCTACATCTGCTTCCAGAATTCACAGCTCAGTATTTTTTGGGACTCTTATTACTGTATTGAGAAATAAATGTGTATGTTAGGTAAATAATAGAAGCCTTACAGCCATGCTGAGCTCTTGAATCCATAAAACCAGGTGTGTTTAGAGAGAGGCACTAGCACAAGTCCATCTGGAGCTTCATCTCAGAGCCTCAGATAGGCAAAAATCCAGCTGAGACGGTTTTTCTGCCTAATGACTACAGAAATTTAATTGGTGTACCATATTGCCAATAAGCTGTTAAAAAAACCAACAAAAAATCCTACCTTTCAATACTTCAAAATGTTCCTAATAAACTTTTAAACATTGTACTTTAGTATACATCTATGCTTTATTTTTACAACCAATCCTTGGATGCGCTGAGGTTTTTTTATTCATCTAATCTGAGAAGAAACTAAGTTAAATGCATATTTACAATGTAAGAAGAGAACAAGTGATCAAGTGAATACTATGCCTTTATGAAATATTTCCAGATTTATACAAAGCAGCATAATATCTTCTTCCAAGGAGACAGACTATTGTGAAAATATAGGTATAAAAGCAATAAATCCAAACAACTATTTGTTGAACAAGCCAAAGATCTTGACTTATTAAATCTATTTAAATTTATTCATTTGCAAGTGTTTAGGTCATGGAGTAGACTCTTCACCTGCTATTCTGTGCCCTAAATAACAGATTTATTCTAGTGTTTCCTACATCCACTAGTGAAATAATATTCTTCAAATGTGATATCTTCCCCCTACGCTGTTACATATTATTTTCACCATAGCTCTGCTTAGAGATGGAGCAGTTGAATTTTAGTTTAAATATTGCCAGAATACTTCCTTTGCAGTCCCACAAAAGCAGCCTTAACAGTATATTTATATCTCTCTTCCAGACATTTATTTTAACAACCTAAGAAAATGCTAGCATTTTTCAAATCATGCTAATCATACCATAAAAGTACATAATTATGTATCTGGGAAATAAGCTAAAAACTGTAAGTCTCTGTTTGACATTGCGTTTTCAAATCCATGGTAGACAGATACTTCAATAAAGTGTGAAAACACAAATCAACTTTAAGTTCCACATATAGGAATGCACAAAATGACATCTGAGCCTCACAGTAAAGACTCATTTCTATTCTATTCTTCCAACCTGCATGAACTAACCAGTGTTTCCCACAGGACATTCGTGCAGATACAAAGCACAGAATGTCGCCAGTGAAAGCAGGTTTCAGAGGAAAACTAGTCTTAAGGAAGCAATTTATAGTCAAGGCTTTGGACCTGAATGAAACAATTTTGAACAGATTATCTTCTACCTTCACACTCTTCTTATCGTCTATTGCATCAGAAAACCTTTGACATCAGCAAGATATCTGAGAAAAGGAAATTCCGTATAAGATTTGGAGACTATTGCAGTGAGTAGTCTGAAAAGATCATTTTAGCTCAAATTTGGATGTTCTTGACAAATCAAGACCTCCTTTTAATCATTAAAATCCACAAAGCTTGTTGTGGTCTGCTTTTCTTTAATTTTGTGGTTTATAAACTCTTTAGTGCATCTTCAGTGCATTCAGCTGAAATGCCAAGAACATAAACCAACTGAAAACACTGATAGATTCCCTATTGAGGTCACTGCACTTCTGACTCACATCATAAAACTAAAATAAAAATCGTGTTGCATTTTCCTTATCTTACTTCAGCTACAAAATACTATAAACAATCTGATTACAAAACAAGAGCCTTCAGATAAACACCAGCTGTGCCACATTCACTTACAGATTGGCAACCACATATAGAAGTATCTGTAATGAACACAACTACAGTGTTTAAGATACTGTCTAATTAATCCAATAGTGAGGGAAAAAATGGCACAATTTAGCTCTATTGCAGCTGGTCTACATTGTGTTTCACTTTCAGTGGAAACACTGCAATTTGGCAATCTCTGAGACTAAAGCAAGTCCAGGGTCATCTTGGACTGAAACACAAAAGTAAAAGCGGTGTCGCCTCCCCTGCACAGGTAGTGCACAAAGGCTGTCCCTAAAACCTGGAACTAAGAGACTAGTTCCTAAGCTTAAATACATTCTCCATACATGCACATTCAATCTACAGATTTCCTTCTCAGACCACTGATCATTATGGGGGTTCCATCAGCTGGTAAATTTACAGAGACTGTCAAATCATCTGATATAGGCCCCTGAAGCCTCATCACATTCTACTGGCCTTCAGTCGCCTCTAACCATAGTCTGGACTCCAACACACTGATCTACTGATGAGATGCTCTTAATCCTATTGCCTGACCCCAAAGCCCTGCAATCACATGGGCAGATAAAGATCTAAATGAGTATCATTCTACTTAATTATTCTTTTTATGCTTTTGAAGAGAGCAATATAGATATAAATCTTCAGTAAAATAATGCTTGATGTCACTAGCAAGTAGATTATACTGCAGCCATCTGTTTGCAGCTTGAAAAGTTACCAGTAAAACAAGACTTCCCTGACAAAAAGCACCAAGAGTTTATGCCATCATGATTACTTCAATTTCCTCACTTTTAGAAACAACAATTAAGCAGTAAGACTGCAGTGTAGCGCTGCCATAGAGTAAAACCTTATCTAATCCTTGGAAGTTAAACAAATTTGCAGTAAATAATGCTGCTGCTATCTTGCTCAAAGAAAGCATGTAATCCCACAGATTTCACAAACTGTGAAATCAAAGAGATTCTGTTCCTAGATTTATATTTAAAAAGAAAAACTATTTCTATTGTAAAATAGAAGATATTCACTTATGGCTATTTCTTTCATCATGTTTCGAGTCCAAGCTGTAGCCATTTGGGACTTAAAACAAGATCTGAAGTGCTTTTTGAGCAAACTTGTAAAACAAGCCCGAGGGGTGCTGCTAAAGATCTAGCTGAAAGAAAACAAAACAGCATGCTCTGGTAAAACCATTCCTCAGTCAAGAACATGCAAGCAGGGCCAGCATTCCTATCTTCTGCAGCTCTTAAGGTTTTCCCCCACAGTACACAAGTCAATTATGGTAACTGTGTCAATTTGGACAGTATCAGTTCATCAGCTTAACCAAGGACTTGATTTCAAATCCCCGTGATCTCCATTGAAGAATAAATATATCGCTGTTATTATTACTTTAAAAATAAACAAAGGTGGTGCAATTACCATGTCCAGCCAGCTTTGTGACCGGAAACAATGCAATTTCCAGTCAACTCCTGTCATTCAATTGCAGTGGAGCCAGATAAGGAGTCCTGCTTATCAAAATTTTCCTCCATCAATGCAATGATTGTGGGAACCGGCTGACTGACACCACAAGCTGGATAACATCGTCTCCTTCAAGCAATTGATTGTTTCCCTCCTGAAAGCAACACGAGTGGGTTTGACATACATCGATAGCCTCCACATTGCATAGGGCTTACAACCTTCCTCCTCTAGCATTAACAGTGCAAGTCTGGCCTGGGTACCCTTGGGTAAAAGCTAAGTTGCAAAAGTCACTCATAGTTGGATGCCAACGCCTTCATGTTTGCATCAGCCACTCCCTGCATACTTCTGCCCCAACAAACTACCTCTGAGATTTCCTGGTGAGGTTAAATTTGTCTGACAGGTGATAAAGTAAGAATTTTCTTTCAAAAGTAATGAATACTGTGATATTAACCAATATTTCAGTAAGTTCTAGTTGGCTGACATGGTGGGCACTTACCGAAATCCCCTGTAGTTGTTGAGTCAGCTGTACTCCATCTATCCCGTGCTCCTGCATGTGATCAACTGTTCAACCCCTCTGCCTTGCAGAACTTTTTCAGAAAATAGTCTGAGCCTGTGGATGGAGGAAAAGAGACATTCATTATGAAAATTCTTTTTAAAATAGGGCTGGATTTCAGATGGGAAAATTTGACAGGTCTCAGAATACTTTACAAGCCTGTTCATCATCAGAATGAAACCTGAGTAGGTTCTTTATGGTGCCTTTTTTCAATCCTCTGCCTGTTTTTTCCTTGCAGGCTTTTGATCTGCTTCTCTCCACTTGTATGAAGAAATCCAGAGGACCATGTGGGGCAAACAATCAACCTGGAGAAAGTCTTCTGTCATCAGCTTGTTGAGAGAAAACCTTGTCTGCTAAAAAAGAGGGGTGGGAGGAGGAAGAGAGATGGAAGCATTGAGATAGGATCAGTAACTAAACTGCAAGGTTATCAATGTACCGTTGTGTGTTGTGAGAAGTGTCTGTCTTTTTTTTTTTTTTTCCAGCTCTGGGCTAAACTCATGGTACTAAACAAAACAAAAGCAAAAAGAGTGACATTTCACGCTGTGATGAAAATGTGATATAGTGGTGTCATCGTGAATACAAGTGTCAACAGAATGATAATTACCAACAGGACATCAATGCACACAAAGCCAAGTGCACACAAAGGCAAAGATCAAGCTGCTAGAAACTAAGCCTGCTTCATAATATCTACTCCTCTCTTTCTGGGATTTGGAGGGGATTGTTTAACTCCTGTTTCTGGCATTAGACTTTTTCCTTCTTCTGCCCCCTCTCTCCATTTTATATAGTAACCATCTATGCCTGGAAGCTTTTATTACACCTTTGGCCAGGGAAAACAGTAGTTTGTAGGTTTTTGCATCATAGAGACAGCTTTGAGGTGCCAGCTTTTGGATTTGTTGGAATGTGGGGCAGTTTTAAGAAGAGAAAAGCCCTGCCTTTGCCATGTCTTCACTTTGACCAGCTCCTCTGAAACATCCAAGTGCTGCAGAGCACACTGCATACATTGATGGCAGCCCAGGCAGGCCCTGCAGAGCAGACATGGCAGAACCAGTGCTGACATCATGCTCTGACTCGCCTCCTCCTCACCATCCTCCAGTGCCAGGGCTGTGACAGACAAAAGCAGATTTTCTTCTTAACACTGAAGCATCACACAAATCCAAACTAAAATTTCTCTATGTAATATCAGTTTCACAAACAAGTGCATTTAAAGAACAGTCTAACTTTGAGTAGGTTTCCAAAATGAGAATCTCTATTTATGTTGTTTTATTATTTAAGACATGTCCAATACCAAAAGTCATCCCTTGCCTTTTGGTCTTCAAATGAGATTATTGAAAACACCAAATCATCATAAATCATAGTGCAATTTCTATTTCCACTGACAGCAGTCACAGCTTATGCAACATCTGTGTTTCCTCCCTCTGCAGGAGTATGTACACAATGAAATCCTGACAGGTGTCATCCCACCTTTCCCTTGCTGCAGGACTGGTTTCCAGCAAATAAAAGAGACAAAGCACAAGACTGCACAGCAGGTCCTTAATACGTGAGGCTTACTCAAGGAGCTGGTCACCAGCAGCTATCCACGGGGCAGCTGTGAAGGCTGTGCTCTCCTGGGAGACACAGCTCTCCCCAAAACTGTAGGAGCAGCTTGGCTGAGGCAAGCACACTTCTACCTGCCCACGTGTGTGAGCACAAGTGGGTTTTAAAAGCCACAGTGGCTGCATCACCCTCATCCCAGCAGGGCACAGCATGCACCCCTGTGAAAGTCATGGCTCACAGCAGCTCTCACCTTATCGTTCTCAGGGAAACAGTGATTACCTAGGTGTTAACCACAAGCAGCTTTTGCCACCTGGAAGGGCAGAAGTTTTCCCCTCAATCTATTAAAACCCCACAGGCAGGGTGAAAAACAGCCCAACATGTTTCATCATTAATTGACTGATCATATTTATAGGAAGCTATCCATCAACAAATCCCTGTTCTTAGTAAAAACAAGCCCTTCACTGCTATATCACTGTACCTATAAGTGACCTGAAGGATCTACCACACACCCTCAAAAATCCAAGTTTCTTTTTCAAGAGAGCTTTTTCAAGTTCTCTATAGAGAATACTGTAATTTCCCTGTTATATAATGTGTTATTTCTCTATTCTTTACATTTAAAATAAAAAGAAATCCCTAAATTCTTTGACGGGAGAAAAAAAAATAACCTGAATATTTCAACATTAACCCTTGAGAGAATGTGCCCCAAAATATTTGATTCTCTAATCTAAGAGTGTATTCATAAGGATAACTATTTTCACTCTATATAATGTAAAGTGGTTTTGAAAGTTTTCAGTATGACTTCAAACAGTTATTATGGCCAGAACAAACATAAGACCACCGTTCTATGAATAGATCACAATAAGCTTTCCAAATGTACCTCATTATGAGTAAGAGACATCTTGCTCATTTCCAAACTAAAAATCTGTCTCCATTCCACAAATCTTTCTGCCCATCTCACTCATATTTTATGTGTAATTTGAAATCAGACAAGCTGATTCTTCTAAAGCATCATTTTCAAGGTGATTTGGACACAGTTTGATTACTTTTAATTAATTTTACCAATTAGCTTCTAAGGAACTTTCTTCTTTTCATATAGAAAGATAAGCAAAACACATTTTTACATAACACGTAAGCAAAAACATTTCTATTTCCCTCTTCTCCAGAGCTTAGAATGTCCCCACACCTTGCTACTCATATCTAAATACCTGTGAGGAGACAAACTGAAAGAGAATAGAAAAACACAATAAAGAACAAATTTTACATAAAAGGTTATGTCTAAAGATTTTTAACCAGTCCACACACAAGCCAAATTCTACTGCTATTTTGCTCACAATGGAATTACATATTTTTCCAGATTTGCAATTATCGTAATAAAAATAAGATAGATAATATAATCCTGGGGTTTATCACTATTATCTTCTTATAGATAGCTCTGGAATTATCTTAAACTTGCTTCTACCAAACTCAGACAACATCAGAACTTTGCTGTTAATATGAAATGCTACAAACCTCAGCTAGATTGCTAGCTTGAAGTACAGAGGCTATTTCAAAATGAAATATTCTTCAATGTCATAAGTCATACAAAATTCCCATTCGCAGTTTAAAAGTGAAATGCTTTTCTCTGTGAGGATGGATTCTGGGTTTTTTGGAAATGAGCTCTAAAGGTGCACAGTGATTTCTGGAGTGTCCATGAAATGAGTTCTGCAGCTTAAATGACCTTCTAATGGAAGAATTCAGCCAAAGTACATCTCCATTGTTTAGGAAAAGAGCAAGTTTTATACACAATTAGATATGTAATTTTTCTAGTCATGTGCTTTCTGTAGAATATATGTCAACATCAAATGTTTAAAATATGTCTGGAAAAAAAAATAGGATGGTTAAAAGAACAACCTCAGCTGTCAAAACACGAACAAGCAAATCTTTCTGACAAAATAACCTGTCAAAGTTTGGCATATTTTTAGGACATATGTCTGCGTATATAGGCTTATATTTGAGTGTTCTCATGGATTCCCTCCCTAGACATCATCATCGCTCACATTCAGTACTGACAGTGAAATTTTGGAAGCTTCCAAACAGCCCCCCACTCCCTCTCCAGTTGCTTTGTGCTTCTCATAGTTGTAATCATCTGCATTTAAATCCCCCTCACATACACACTTGCTTTTCTGGGCATTTCTCAGTAGTAGGTCCACACTGAGCCCCTTGATATAAGCAATTCACATTACTACCCAAGTTTCTTTTCTAAAAGATCAGATTTAATTCGAACCCCAGCTAAACTGGATTAACAACTTATATAATTCTTACTGTACCTAATCAATGTGTGCTGCAACCACAAGGGGAAAAAAAAACCCTAAAAAATCAATACTGCATGAGAGATTCCTCCTTAGTTGTAATCAAATATACTCACACAAACGGTTTAAAAATTGTCATAGCTTTTTACATTACCGGCATCCAGAGAAAATGCACACCAGTTTTAACTGAATAGTATTCAGTCTCAAAACCATCTAGTTCACTTTCTATCTTGCCAATACAACTTTAATTTAAATCTCTCTAATGCAAATTGTTAGCAGAACAGAGAGCACAACTGAGAAAAAAAGATAATGAAATTATACTTGCGCTCAAACATCACAGAACCCGAATCCAGTTTAGGCAAAGTTTTACCAAAGGCCAAAGTGTGACCTGAACAGACTGTACATAACCCAGGCATCAGTTTCATTTGGGTACAGACCACAAAACTGGGACAGACAAATCCCTGTCATTTTTACTAGCACACAACATTATATAACAAAAGAACAACACATTTCAGTATTAGCAGAGGTAAATGTGAATTAGAAATGACTGTGGCTACAAATTGGAAACTGGAAAAAAAAATACACACAAGACTCCTTTTATTTCTCTGGATTTATGCAAATCCTCCCTGCTCTGTGGTAACAAAATACATACTCTCTATGCTTTAGAATAAAATCAGCTTATTTCTTGACTGAGAATTCATTTTTATTTCACAATTCTTCTCTTTAGGTTTAGATTTTTAAGCCCCTACTGGTAGAATCAAGATCTACACCATACATGACCTTAGCTCACCTGTGACTGTTTTGAAAATGAGTTTTCATGTTGACAATTTCAGACTTGACAGCTCCCTGTGAAAATAAATCTGGAATTCCACTTCCTCTTGGATTGCACCAAAAAAAAATATATTTTGTTCCAAATCTAAAAAAAACAAAACAAAAAAAACCACCATGCAGCCATTTGCTATCTTATCTCCAGTCATAAATAGTTATACTTTTCACACACAAGACACAAGTTTGTTTTTAATGCTACAATTTCCAAATAGGCACACTCTTTGGTAGCATTAGATGAATCCTAAACACTACACACTTGTATCTAAGAACTGAGGCACCCTCCTCTGTGAACACATTTCCACCTTTCTGCCAAACCTACAGTCTTTCTTCCTGTCCTAGATTATACTTAATTTTTCAGTAGTTAAAGCATTTTTTTTCTTCTGTAAAGGGCCTCTCATCTCTCAGATGAGAAAGAAAGGATGTTTTTGACCTGAAAGGAACATTCACCTGGTCCTCTTGCTTTACAGCATAGCCTTTTTCCTTGTCTCCCTCTGCCATTAGCTTCTTCAACTAAATGCAGATGTCACCAACCTTTCTTTAGAAAAGGGAAATAAGTGTCCCATTAAGTACTTAGAGGAGTGGACAGATTCTCCCATTCAGCTGGTTCCCTACACACTTGCTGGTGCTGAACAGCAAATCTTCTATTTCTGAGAAAGGGCTATCACAGAGAGGTCATTTTCCTCTAAGTGGTTTCCTTATTTCAT